ATAATTATATTATCATCGTTCTTACTACTATAGCGCGCAATTTATTGGGTTTTAAAAAGAAAATGGCTTTCAACAACAAAAAAAGAGATAAGCACATCTTATAGCGTACAATCTTTGCTTGAAACTTCGGCTACATATATGAACACCCCCTTCAAAATAAGGTATGTCGCAAGGGGGAGAAAATATAATTTCTCAAAATGTGTGCATGTTCTGATCTCGGAGCGTATGTTCCCTTCATCAACAGACTTGAAACACGTCCACCATTCCGTCCGCCTTGTAGTTGTACTTGGGGAACTGAAGTCGACCATACTTCTGCCATACGCCGGACGCCTGGAGTGTGGAGGGAGAAACAGACTGGGTATGATTTAAAAGGTAACTGAACTCAATTTTTTCTCGATATGTTCTGTAAAGGCCCTTAGCACACGGTTGCATTGTGTCAATGTAGCTAATGATTTTGGTTTGGCATCGTGAAAAAATCAGGTTCTCGTCAAATTTGCATGACCTTGAATTTAAAGATTAAAAATGCCTGACACTTTTAAATTACAAGTTCTATTTACTCAATTCCTAGTTTTGAGAAATTTGACGTGAAATATTTTGAGTTTCACAACAGTTTTAATTTTAGTAGAGGTTTTACGGCGCTCGCAACTGCATAAGATCATATGAGCGCCAGAAGATTAGAGGTGTTACAAGAGAGTAACAAACATTACAAAAAGCAGAAGAAGGGGAGATAAGGACGATAGATGTTTGATAGGAAAGAAGAAGCAAACCACACCAGAGCACCCGCCAACCACCCACAGTTTCACAACATGTCAAACTTTTTCAGGTTTGAAGGAAGGAAAAACTGTAGTACATCTTACCTCTAAATGTGCAAGGAATTCAGCGTAGGTTTGTCCATACTCGGTTTGCAAGACTCCATCTCGGTATACATTGATGACGAAACTGAGGGGAGAAATGGGAAATAACTCCAATGTTTATGATTTCTATGAGTTGTTTTCCTTAGTTGCTGTGTTTGTAGTTGTTTGTTGTTGTTTGTTATTTGCTGTCGTTGTTACTGTTCTTGTTTTAACTGTTGGTGCTGATATTGTTTCTCTCTTAGAGTTATTATTGTTGCTGTGGTTGTTTTTGGTGCTGTTGTTGTCGTTGTTAAATGTTGTTGTTGTCCTTATTGTTATTATTTTTGCAGGTGTTTTTGTTGTTTTTGTTGTTGTTATTGTAGCTATTCATGCTGTTGTTGTTGCTGCTGACATTGCTGTTTCTATTTATGATGATGATGATGATGATGATGATGATGATGATGATGATGATGAGGGTGTTGGTGTTAAAGCTGCTGTTTATGCTGCAGTTGCTGCTGTTATGGCAGTTCTCACTGACGCTGTTATTATTTCAATTGCTCTTGGTGTTCGGGCTGTCTTAGATGGTGCAGTTATTAGTGCAATCGTTATTGTTGTTGTTAAAACTGTTGATGCTGATGTTGTGCTGCTGCTGCTCTTTATTTTGCCAATATTATTGTTATTGCTGCAACAGTTGTCATTCCTAAACCTGCACTAAAATGTTAGATATACATACGGACGCAGGAAATGACTGTTGAATTTCAAGTATGTTTGCTTGTCTGTATGTGTATTATTAAGTTTGTGTTTAAGTTTAATAATAGTTTTAACTTTCTGTACATCTTACTGCTTCAGCGTTGCTCTGATAGTCTGTGTGGGTACGCGCTTGCGAGCGCACGCGCACGTTTGTGTGTGTGTGTGTGTGTGTGTGTGTGTGTGTGTGTGCGTGTGTGTATAGACTGACCCTCCAGACTTGACCACTCTCGCCAGTTCGGCCAGACCAGACGAAGGCACATGGTCATCTACAAAAGCACCAGCCGCTGTAGCTATATCAAAGGAGTCTGTGAAAGAAAAAAAAGGTAAACTTAGTGGGTTTGCTTCACACTTGACGACTTACATTCCATTGTCTAGATCTAGTGGTCTCTCTTTATCTATAATTTATTGTGTTCGCAATTATAACAAACAGAAACACACACTCCTACGATTACACATACACGATTACACATACATTTATTTTTGAGTCAAGGGAGAAAGAGAGAGAGAGAGAGAGAGAGAGAGAGAGAGAGAGAGAGAGAGAGAGATAGGGAGGGAGGGAGGGAGAGAGAGAGAGAGAGGAAGAGAGAGAGACAGACAGACAGACAGACGGACAGACAACCGATTAACTCTCAGCAGACTGCCGAAATCGTTAAGAGAACAGCAAAG